TGTTGGCTCTCCATTGTTTTGTGTGTGTGTGTGTGTTTGTGAGTGAGTGCTAATTCCCTTGAGTTTCGTTTCCTAACTAATTAGTCAGAGTTCCCAGTATGATCCTGGTCAGTAAACTGGTTTAATTTCCAGCTTCGCCCAAAGAAATCCTGAGCTGATGCTGCTTCTCAGATCACAGCAGTTCTGATTTTCACACATGATCTCTCGTTTTCTCACTTCTTCCTCATTCACTTCTCTCTTTTCAATACCGTCAGAATAAACCAAATCATTAATCACTGCAAATCGCATGCACTGTAGTCAACATTTAAAGTGGATCAAAAAAGTTAATCAAACATTCTTAAAAAAAGCGTGGGTTCCACACAAATCCAAACTGTTGTCCCAAAACAAATTGATTACGTGAACTTACAAATTTAAGTAGATTGAACATAAAACAATTAGGTTGTCCCCCCAAAAAACATAAGAATTGTGTTGTGTCAACTCATTTTAAATGTGTAGTTTGAACAAGCAGCAAAAGTCATTTTTTAAGTGAAGTTGTCTTATAAGAACGGGTATTGTTTTGGTTTTAGGACAAATTTGATGAGAGGTTTTGATCCACTTCAATAGTTGACAAATGTAAATGTCTAAAAATATGCTGAATGAAACACAATAAAGTACAATGGGAGACCACATGGGAAAGCTAGGTTGCTGCCGGAAGTAGTGCTAGTGAGGCCAGCAGGTGATGCTTATCCTGTGGTCTATGTGGGTCCTAACACCCCAGTATAGTGATGGAGACTCTATACTGCTCAGTGAGCAGGCCTGGATTCAGAATTCAAAGGCCCCTGGGCACATTGTCTTGTTGGGCCACCTACCCGTCCGCACCCCTGTAGTTGAATTAAAAAGTAAGAATAATATATTATTTATTTTTAATAAAATTAATCTATAATGTATTGCCCACATTTTAAAAGTAAACTATGTATAGTACATATATTTATAGCCTACACAGATTTGACTTATTTTTCAAGGATTTAAAGCACTATGTTAAAAAAAGATACTAATGAAATTAGTGAACATTAATGGTTTTAGTATACTTATTCAAGTTCACTGAAGCAGTACTAATATATATATATATATATATAAAAGGTATATTCTTTGTAAATGCAAATTAGTTACATTAAGATGTCGCTAGCATTTAACACCAGGTAGAAAATAACTAGAAAATTTTAAATAACTGCTGAATAATCACATATGAAATAAGCTAAACCTTATTAAATACACAGGAGCCACTTGTGACTTTATATCACATTTTCATTTTTTTTCATTTTTAAACAAAAATATTTCCTTCCTATTAAAAATGAATGTATTTTCAATCTGATATGTAATATGGAAAAAAAAGAAGAAGGAGCTCATCAGATGCTGGATACAAACCGGTTGATGATCGATCCGTCAAAACATGTCGACATGCTCTTTACGAGCGACACCACTCACGCTGCTATTATTTGCACTCTTTAGGTATGTTGTCTGTCTTTCAAACAGAGATGGGCGGAAAATCGCTCAAATAGCTTCTTCCAACGAGGTGCGCTATTTGCACTTAGCTTAAATAGACACTCCAAAATCTGCATTTTTTCCCCCTCACATGGGCCCCCTCACATGGTACCCATTAATTAATCCAGCCCCGTCAATAAGTGGTTTTTTGGATGAGATGTTAAAAGGAGGATCTGACTCTCTCTGGTCTTTAAAATTCCACAATGTCCTTCAAAAAAAAAATAGGGGTTTAACCCCGGCATCCTGGCCAAATTTGCCCACTGGCCTCTGTCCATTATGACCTCTTAACCATCCCCATATCATAATTGGCTTCATCACTCTGTCTCCTCTCCATCAATCAGCTGGTATGTGGCGCAATATGGCTGCTGTCACGTCATCCAGGTGGATGCTGCACACTAATGGTGGATGAGGAGATTCCCCCCAAAAATGTGTAATGAGCTGTGAGTGTCCAGAAAAGCACTATATAAATGTAAGGAACTATAAACTATTAACAGTAAGATACTGTAAAATGCAGAAGTTTTCTTTTTTACGCAATGTTGAGTTGGGATATAGTTGACCAGAAGCCACAGTTAAGCACACATGAGATTCAGAGTTACTGCAGCTTAACCATAATGCAGTGAACGTTTATAATTTGCAAGACCTAACAGAGTTCAGGCACGCGATTTAACCTTTTATTTGTACCTTAATAAAGAAATTTGTTGAATTATTTATACAATAAAGACTTTGCGGTGTTATTTTACCTTTAATTTATTCCGTTTTTGTACCAGAATACTATTTATTTCAATTCATTTGTAATTTGGTAGTTTAGTACAGGTTTCCCCCACAAGTCCAAATGAACCAAAGTTCATGCACTATAGTGAATTGAATAAACTAAACCGGCTGTAGTGTATGTGTGTGCATGTATAAGTGTATGGTTTTTCTGAGTAGGTTGCAGCTGGAAGGGCATCTGCTGTGTAAAACATATGCTGGAAAAGTTGGCGGTTCATTCTACTGTGGCGACCCCTGATGAATAAAAGGACTAAGCCAAAGGAAAATGAATAAATGAATGAAATAGTGAAATTGTGTGTGTGTATATATATATATATATATATATATATATATATATATATATATATATATAGAGAGAGAGAGAGAGAGAGAGAGAGAGAGAGAGAGAGAGAGAGAGAGAGAGAGAGAGAGAAAATTAAAATATTGCAATGTCAGTTTTTTTCCAATATCACGCAGCTCTAACAGGCATATTCAATTTTCAATTGTTGAATTTTTTTTTAGTTTTTAGTTGTGAAAAATGTTTATCCAGTCATTTTTACTGTGATAGATGTTAATTCATTAATTTAAAACCCCAGTTTCATTTACTTTATAGTTCCTGTAATTAATTATGTACTTTCTTAGGCAATAAAGCTGCATCTTATGTTTGTTCAAATAGACGCTCATTGCATTATTTTAGTATCGTGTTTCCATGATGTTTTGAATTAGTTTTTATGAATCTGTTCGCCTTCTAAATATTAGTATTAACATCAATTTGTGAGTTACATTAGACCCTATTATTTTTTTAACAAGAAGAAAATGTATATGTACTGCTTCACATTTACTCGCCCTTCACTTATTTGTTGTTTTCAGTGAAACACAAAAAAATATATTTTGTAGCGCGTTTAAAAACCTGATAGCCATTGGCTTTAGTGGCATTTTATTTCCTACAATGGGTGCTCGAACATTCTTTAGAATATCCTCTTTTTATTAAGCAGAAAAAAATAAATTCGTAAAGGTTTGGAAACGCCTTGATGGCGGGTAAATATTTAGGTGAAAACTCCCTTTAAGTCAGGGGTGTCTGGCATAGTTTAGCTTTAACTTTCTTTAACTTCCTTCAAGTTTCTAGTACACATAATAAGAGCTTGATTAGCTGGTTCAGGTGTGTTTAATTCAGGTTGGACTTAAAATATGCAGGACACTGGACACTCTGTACTTTAAGTACTTTAGAACAGTGGTTCCCAACCTTTTTCTCTGGGGCCCCCCCCATGAACATATACAAACATTGGAGCCCCCCCACCATATAAATACACACGCACGCACACACGTACCGTATATATATATATATATATATATATATATATATATATATATATTACTGTATGTGTGTGTTTATGTGTATTTAAATAGGCTTTGTCATACTGTCTAATCTTTTTCTTCGCCTCTAAAGAATCATTATTTTTTTTATAAATATTTCCCAAATTATGTTTAACAGAACAAGGAATTTAACAGTATTTCCTCTAATATTTGTTTTTCTTCTAGGCTTATTTGTTTTATTTTAGCTAGAATAAAAGCAGGTTTAAATATTTTGAAACCTATTTTAAGATCAATATTATTAGCCCCCTTAAGCAATATATATTTTTGATTGTCTGCAGAAGAAACTACTGTTGTACAATGACTTGCCTAATTACTCTAATTAAGCCTTTGAATTGCACTTAAATTTGAATGCTTATATTTTGAAAAACATCTAGTAAAATATTATGTGCTGTCATCATAGCAAAGATAAAAAAAAAATCAGTAATTAGAAATGAGATATCAAAACTATTATGTTCAGAAATAAGTAAAAAAAAATGTTTCTGTTTCCATAAAATGTTAATGTTTCCATTAAACAGAAATTGGGCAGGAAAAGGTTTGCTTATATTCAAGAGGGCTAATAATTCTAACTTCAAGTGTAGGCCTATATATACAGTTATTTTCCACCCTGCAAAGGAAAGAGAAATAAATACAATAGAATAAAAATATAAAACAAACTGTGCTTTAAGCATCTCCACTGTAAGAAAAACACTTTAGCTACAGAAATCCTTCAGTCAAGAGCAGAGAAACATTTTCTCGTTATGTTTGATTAATGATAATAAAAACAGGCGGCAGAAGGAATATTTCTCGCTGTCTCTTTAATGGTTTCTCTTTCACGTCTTTTGATCCTCAACTCGTTTGTTTATTACACAAATGAGGGTTAATATAAATAATCACTAAACACCGCGTTTTGACACCTATTTGACTATTAAAGCGCTCACGTTAAGATGACTAGATGTCTGCGCTTCTCTGCTCGTCTCGTCTCAGGGTGCGAATGAGAGCGAATGCTGACGGCCGCATGCTTCTGACTGTGTGTGCGTGCACACACACATAAGCACGCGGTCTTTCGCAACACATAACTGGAAAGGGGGCGGTATATGATGCATATAATTGTTTATCTTGATTAATGCTTTTTTATAATCGTTTGAAATCGAAATCGGATTTTGGATTTATTGTACAGCCCTGTATAATAGTGGAGCATTTTATGCCTTTTTCTACCTCAACACTTATCCTCTCCCGCGCCCCCCTTGTGAACTCTGGCGCCCCCCTTAGGGGGGCGCGGACCCCAGGTTGGGAACCACTGCTTTAGAAGGTATGCATAAACTTAAACACAAGATATTTGGGCACAACAAAAAAAAAAAATGCTCAAAGCCATCTAAAACATTTGAAAGATTTTTTATTATGTGCACAAAAGTTATTTATAATACTTTACAAAAAAAAAAAAAACACTATTTGCATTAAATACAAATGATGCGCTCCTGGGAGAGAAAGATGTAATATATACTTGCTTACTACAACTTTTTTGTTTCTCCAAAATTTATTTTTGTTTTTTCCCTCTCTTTATCGTCTCTCTGTCCAAATACTTTACTGACAAGAATCTGTTCAGTGTAACACATTCGAGTTTCCTCCAAATACTGATAAATAAAAACAGCACCCATTAGACCCCGTTATCAACAATGCTTCCTTTAGGTACAATGTTTTAAACATGGGATAAATAGTTGTAAAATAATGCATCATCTTTCTCTCTCGTTCTCTGTTTCCACTGTACGTCTGTCCTCACTCTCAGGCTCCATAAACGCTCTCATTACTGTACGTCATATACAGGAACAGGTCTTCCTCATGGTGTTCCTAAAAACACACAGACATGGATGATATAGTACATTTAGGTCAGTACCTGTATTTGTTTACAGGCAACACATTACAATCAGGTTTCATTTGTAAACAACATTAACCAATGTGAATAAACAATGAAAACAAGCATTACAAACCTTAAACTCGAATTTAGCTTATTAGAAATAGCATTGAACATTTGCATGTTTTATTAAATAATTTTAACCAAAATCATGAAATGCAATTGTTTCTGATGTCCCTAAAGTGTTCATGTGAAGTTTCAGCTCAAAATAACCCACAAATAATCTATTATAACTCTTTAAATCTGCCCCTTTTAGGGTCCATTCTGAATTGTGCTATTTTGGTGATTATCGCTTTAAATTCAAATAAGATGGGTGGAGCTTAAATGCCTATGTGTCAGCACAGTGGCATATCCAAAACTCTAATGGCAGATGGCTGCTTCTCATTCAGGGTTGTTTATGCTAATGAGGGAGTCACTAATGGGCGAGGCTTTCCCCCTCAGATGACATGTTCAAAGGGTGAATGCCAATTAAAGTGTTTTAAAAAGTTAATTAGATAATGAATGAAGTGAAACTGAATAATTTTTTGTGGTAATAATTTATTTTTTTAAATAATATTAAAATGTAAAAAAGTGTGTATTTTTACTGTTCAAAAGTTAGTTCAACAATATTCAGCAAAGACAGATTAATCAAATTTATAAAATACAGTGGTTCCTCGCTATAACGCTGTTGACCTTTCACAGCCTCGCAGTTTTGCTAACTTTTTGACATGCTTTTTAGTACAGCACATTGTGTTCTGCGTCCTGATTAGCACGCTGTGTTCTGCGTCTCGACTGGCTGTATACCATTGTCATTCAATCTCCTCCAAACAATGTCACCTGTATAGTACAGAATGCATTCAGCTTGCCAAATTTACATAAATCTTCGATCGCTAGCAGTGTGACTCTGACGTTTCCTCCCTGCAATGTTGATGAAACATTCTGCGCACTCGAAGACAGAGGAAGATGCTACCCATGGCACAAAAAATGTAACTTCTGGACATGCTAAAGGAAGGTAGAAGCTATGCAGCTGTAGGGCACCATTATGGAATAAATAAATAAGATCAAATAGTTTTGATCTTTGGTTTAATTTCATAATACTCGACTTATTTAGAAGGTTTGAACTCGGAGAGTGTTTAAACAAGAGAGAAAAGTCTAAAAATCTTAATGCCTGTCTGAGAAAAGTGTATGAAGCGAGTTGTGAGGGGGTTTACAGCCTTAAAACATCTATAATAATGGTAAAAAATAAAGCTGACTACTTTGTGGATTTTACCTAATGCGGGTTATTTTTAGAATGCATCTCCCGCGAATAACAAGGGACCACTGTCATACAAAGTAAAGTACGTGTTACTAACTTGAACTTTCTATTCATAAAAAAATCTGGCAAAAACAACAATAAAATGGCAACATTGACAATGAATTTTACTGAGCGTCAAACCAGCATTTCAAAATGATTTCTGAATAATCAAATGTCACTCCAGTACTAAAAATTCAGTTTTACCATCAGTAAAATATGTTTTAAATTGAAATCCTTTTCATAATATTACAGTATTTTTGTTCAAATAAATGCAGTCCGAGTATAAGAAGCTTTCAAAAACATCATATTAATCTTTCTGACTATACTTTTGAATGATAGTGTGTAAATATTTCTAAAGCTTTTTTAATTAATCACATATTATTCAACACGAACAACAAATAAAATCTATTAAAATACAATTCAAGTGTATTTGTATTGTGCAGCTCTACGAAAGTTGCATGATATTACAGTCAAAATCAAAAAGTTAAGGTGTAAAAAGATAATCCTGCTTATTATCAAATAATAATAATAATATTTGTCACTAAATTTTCAATAAAAAAAAAAAAAAAATTTATTTTAGGTTAAAACCAGTGATTGTTTTTGAACATCCTATGCTAAAAGAAGTTGTTTATCTTACATAGCAGCAGCAAAGAGGAAGATTGAGTTACCTCATACACCGCAGACAGGGGGGAACTGGATGGAGGGAGGGAATTTTTGACGAAAAAGAAGAGCGCTTCTTCTGGCCTCATAGACACTCGCTGTCTGATTAGGAAACAGAGCTGACCGACTGAAAGAAAAAAAAAAGAGAAAGACAGTCAGATCAAAACTTAACGACTTCTCCACAGTTTCGTTTCTTTCTCAGGAGGAAGATGGGAATGGGGAAGTTTAGGGTCAGTGAGAGTGTCCAAAATATTGAAAGAGCTTAAATTCACCGATGTTAAATTACACCAGTGGTTCTCAATTCCCCCCAGAGAAATCTCCTCAGGTCTTAAGATAATTAAGCATTCAGACGTTAATGTCCAAACATGTCTTTATATAAGTTCAGTATTGTTGTTGCAGAGGAAATATAACACAGAAAGCGGGATTTAAGTATTTTCCAGTGGGTTAGATACAAACATCTTTACCGAAGCCTCTCTACTTGACAGTTGGTCTTGCGCGCCCATCATGTTTGTAGTTTATTTACATTTTCACCTGTGTTTGTAGTTCTAATTGAATTCACATCCAACACGCAATGAACTCTGGGCAATATCAGCAGTTAGAGTATGGACGCTTCTACACTTAAAATTTTTACTGGAAATAGTAAACCATTCCGGAACTTTTTACCTGATTAAGATTTGGGACATACTAATTCTATTTTTAAATATTTAGGACGGATAGTATTCAAATTGGGACGCAGGTTTTTAAAATGAGCAGGGTGTGTGTGTGGAGGGGGGGGGAGCACTGGAATTGAGAATCACCGAATTACACATTGATTGTGTACAGTCATGAGTTGAGAGGATTTCAAATGTAAATGTATGGAGATTATTTTACCTGTGAGGTCTGAAGGAACAAGGTATTTCTTTTTGTCAAGTTCTGGAGCTCTTGATCTTGCAGCTCTCTCCACAATTATCTAAACAGACAAGCATAGAAGAAAAATTAACAAATACTACTGTGAGATCAATCAATTGGCAATTTAACTTGTGGTCATATAAAAAAATGATTGTGCACTAAAAAAGACTGGATACACCAAGTTAACCTTTAACCACCATTAGACACCATTATTGGATCATCTAGGTAGACCCATACAATTCAATGAACTCCTAGAACAAAATCCTTTCAGAGATATAGATTATTGATTTAAATAAAAAAATAATAAATTAATCCTATGCATAACATATAACATTTCAAGAAAAGCAAACATTTTTGTCCATATAATGTAATTAAATGGTGACCAATACTGTTTAATTAACTTATTTTTTTAATTGGCAACATTGTTTAAAATATGTAAAAAACAATTCTTGAAACTTGAAAGTCACAAAAATGAATTCTGGTTAATCTAATAACAGTATTTACAGTTTTTGTTAATACAAATGAACAAAATGAATATATATAATAACCAAAATACTGAAAATAAAGCTGAGAGTCACTGTTTGAAGTAGTTAAGACATTTCACCAGTTAATAATTCACTTAAGAAATCTAATTGAAAAGCGTTCTTGTTTGTTATTGAGAGACTGACCGGAATTTTATCCGGATGTTTGGCACGAACTCGTTCCCCCTCCGCTCTCCTGACCTCCAAAGGAACACTTCGCTGATACTGGCTAGACATCTGAGGGCCAAACACACATCAACATTAACCACAAACAATACAGCCTTCCTCTTGAAATGCACAGAAATCAACCTGCATATTTCTTAGAGTTACTTATAATTGTTTCTTTTATTGTCACTGATTATAATTGATTATACTCATTCAAACGCAAATAAACATGAATTGTCTGATATATATATAAAGAGTTCAGATGCAAAAACCTCTAAACGCCATTTAGACTTTTCTTCTACAATAAGCATTATTCTCTGCCTCTTATGTGTATGTTCAGTTATTTCATGTTAAAATCTATGAAAATAACCTATTATTTGTCGTAAAAATGAAATTACTGAATCAAGACACAGGAGAAAAATGCTAATTTTAGAGGAAAATTTCAGATGGCATTTAGAGGTTTTTGCATCTGAACTCTTCACATAATCATTAATAAAACATGTATGTTCTGATTTAGTCAGTGTACACATGAAGTAAAAATAAACTAGTTTTCATTAAACACTCCAGGGTATCCTGTCAGCCCACCATGGCTCTTCCTCTCCTTTGCCCTTAATCCAGATGTTCTTCATAAACATTTCTACCATGTTAAAAATAAAGAAATAGTTCATCCCATTTTTAGCTGAAAATGTGGTCCTCGCTTATGCAGAAAATGTAAATCAATGGCTACTATCACTTTAAGAAAATACACAAAATAAACAAATAAATAAAAACAATTACAGAGAGAATACAATGAATGCCTCCTCACGATATATTGTTGTCCCATAAGCAAATCAGCCTGTCTGTGCAAAATACAAAATTATTTTATAAATAACTTTTATTTAAAAAGTTTTATTTTAAATCATTTTTATTTTAAAAATTGTAACCTTTAATTCACAACTTCAACGTATAGAGTAGTAAAAAGTCTTGAGCATGTTTTTGACAATTTTCCTGTCGCATAATGGAATATGCACACAGGCACAATCTCAAAACATTGCTGTTCGGTCACAGCTTTTTAAAATTATTTAAAGTCACAAGGGTAGGCACAAGTACTGTTTTGATAAATAATACAAAATATATGCATGCCCTCACTCACTCAGCACATATGTGAGTCTGCATTAGGGCTGCAACTAACGATTATTTTGATAATCAATAAGTTGAGCATTTTATTTTCAATTATTTGTGACCATCAAGCTGCGGGCTGCAGCAAGGACAAGTAGTCTACACTGAACAATAGTTTAAACCTCCCCCTACCCTAAACCCAAATCACAGTAGTATAGGTGTTACCTTAGTGGTCGGTACAATGTCCACTACCTATTGGACCTGGTGCAGTATGTCATTGATTTTACAGACTGCAGCGAGTACATCTTGAATTAATCGGATGAAAACAAATCGCTTTTTAAATTTGACTTTTACTACATAAAATTGTAAATCAGGGTGTTATTTATGCATAAAAGTTAACTTTAAAAAATAAGAGCCATGCATCAAATTTTTATATCTTTAATTTTGACATTATAAACTTTAAATGAAAAACAACGTGTATTTTTAACAGTACATTTTTTTTCTAAATATGCAGAATATTACTAAATAAAAAGCAAAACAAGGATTGTACTCCTATTATATTCATAATATAAAAAGAGGATCACATGCTGCCAATTATCAAATATTTATTTTTGAAACAGAGGTTGAAGAACATGTAAACTTTCACTGCTCAGTGCACAAATGTCATGTTATTAGCATTTTCTAAAAACCACAATATTGAATAACTGTAATAATCTGCAGCTACTGTTGTTAGCTGATTTTAAATATGTGGTATCTCACTCTACATTTGCAACATTTAGTTTAAGCTAATTTAAAGTAGTGCCGTTTAATTGATCATCACTATATCTCATAACCATTTGCCAAGGCTGTGGATAATATGCTGTAAAAACATTTAGCTTCTTGCCAATCAGACCCATAATGTGACTGTATAAGTTCTTAGTATAATATATGTATAATTTTTATTATACTCTAAAAGTGTTGGTTGGTATTGACTTGCATTTTATGAATTACCTAGGACAGTGGTTCTCAAACTGTGGTACGTGTACCACTAGTGGTACGCAGGCTTCCCACTAGTGGTACGCGGAGGAATGAAATATGTCATGTACATGCTACATATATTTAAAAATTTATCAAAAATTATGTATATATTATACCATATATGACATATAGCCTATATTTCTGAGGTGATCTGGCATGTTTTTTTTAACTGTGCAGAGTTGTAGCTGCTTTACTGGGCCTACTACGCTACTGTATTTCAATACTACAATTTTTTTCTAAGGTGGTACTTGATGAAAAAAGTTTGAGAACCACTGACCTAGGACATTTTCACCTAAAAAAATTCTTCAATGTTTAAATATAGAAAAAAATACCACACGTATCTTTGAGTCCTGAGTAAATATGAGGCTCAAAAAGCAACATAAAACTAGTAAAATTTCTTTATATATATCAGGGCACAACAATAAGGACTGCCCAGTGGCCCGGGGCCAGCATGTGAGATGCTTGGGACAATAGACAGGATCATTACAGGCCTGATACAGTCTTAGAATCGAGAAACTGTTTGGGTTTTTAAACCTTCAAATGCTACCTTCTCTGTGATGTCATAAACACCATATTGCTTTTGGTTCCTCTTATCTGATGGCATGATGTTGTGAGCATGTTATTTTTTTCCATAACAACCAGTACAGCGAAGAGACAGCAACATCAAATGATGATGCTAAAAGAAGATGTTTGTTTTTAACTTCATGGAAGCAGACATTGCGAGGGTACACCATGACAAAAAAAAAAAAATTTAAATAAATAAAAATGGAAGTGATGTTATGTACAGTTTGCCATCAGTTTGGCAGGTCACCCACTTTTGTTTTGCAATAAAACACCTGCACATTTTCCATACTGCTACTTTTGTTTGCATAACACTTATAATTTTGCTCATTATGTTAATTAACATGTTTAGAATATTTAAATTCTAGTTTTACAAAAAAAAAATTTCTTTTAAATGTGTGGCTAAGAAATGGCTATTAGCTTTTTTTTTTGGTGGGGCCAGTGAAAATATTGGCAGGGCAAGTAAAAATCTGAACCACTGGTCCGATCGGGCCAGTAGAAAAAATCCTTAGCGTTGAACCCTGTATATTTCTCAAATAAATGTAGAATTTTTGAGTGAAATATTCCTTTAATCCCACATGACATTTTTTCACAGACCTGGCACCATACAATAGCTGAAAAATCATCTCTGTTAAAAATAAAATGTTTTAATAACAACTAAAGGAATGAAAATTGTGCACAAGCTTCGGAATCTTCCACTATAAAATACAGAGGCGGTGACGCTTGTTTGTTTTGTTTATGTTCACCCAACCATACTTGTGCCCTGCAGAGGCACATTACATAATACTGGCATAAACACACACACACACCTCTAATTGAAACAAAAATAAAACAAACATGACTATTTTGCTTTCATTCCCATATACTTTGACATCTGAATAGCAGAGTGTCCAAAGAACATGCCAGAAAGTGAATCTAATAAAGATCATGTGGTCCAAAATGACTGGATGACTAGAAGGTATCTTTTTTGTGTCCTAAATAGCACATTTAAGAGCACTGTAGCTGCATTAAAGCATCTATCAATGTGTGTGCATTTCTTTTCTGGTCATTTACGATACCAAATGTAGGTACTCTGAATACCATAGCATAGTACATACATAAACACTTTTATTCAGTACAGTGGTATTATAAAATGCAATTTCACCACTCATATCCATCTCATTATAAGCCATCATAAATCATATCATATTAGACGTCAACAGGTTTTTTATTTTTGTAATACTTGACGGTATTGCGAAGGAGACAAGCTGGAACAGGGAGTGCTGCAATGCGAAAACATGTCCTCCACTGTACTGCCCTCTCTGCTGCACAATTACATTTACTCAGCTTTTAATAATAATAATAAATAGAGATAATAATCTGCTGCCAACAGTAATTACGTGATATAGTAAGATAACTACAGTCATAAACAACAGCTAATGACGTAGGGCCGCGAGCTCATATGATCTGACCTGCTAACATTATTCCGCCCTATCGCTGTTAAAGGAACAAAAGTGAAATGAATGCGGGTAACCGCGAGTCTGGTGTTTAAATCTGTGATCCACCACAAAATCCACGAAAGTTTGCACCCTGAAACTAACTTTACCCACAAACTGGGGTTATGGATGGCTGCGGTAAAAGAAAACATACCTTGGGTGAAAACTGGTGAATTCAGGATAAAACCAAATTTAACGCCTGTCTTCCCCTCTTGGACGAAAATCAGATGCCCGTATCAGCGAAGCAATTAAAGTAATGACTTAAACTCAATAACTTTTTTATTATAAGTCGCCTTCTATGTTGAAGATGTCGACTGGCCCACTTCTCCGACTAAACAACAACAAATGATGCACCGCCTCTTTCTGAGAACTAACCAATGGGAATGAGGAAAATAGACTGACAGAACGTCAAGCAATTTAGGGGAGAGAGAAGGCGGGATTTAAACGTGTTGACAGTGCTTCAATTGGTCGGAGAGTGGTGTCACTCAAGCATTTTGTAGTCAGTGGAACCAATCATGACAAAGGAAAATTAGGCCAATGAACAGAGGTCTACAGTGTAGCTGTAAATACGTGTCTGACGTGTCCTTATCCAGGCAACCAGCATGTGATGGTAGCAACCCAGGACAGAGACAATAAACAGTTTTGGGAAGTAAAAAAGCTAGTCGTTTTAACTAACTAACTAACTAACTAACTAACTAACTTGTAATGAAATTGTAATTTAATACAATTTTGTCTAATGAACGAACATTATTTTTATTTACAGAATTTATCCCTAGAAACAAAATTCCTATTACATTACTGGAATTTACGATACTAACGGGGGCAATGCCTGCTGGTACATCAGCACTTTCTATTTGTCCTCCTAAACCTGAACAGACCTCAGTCAGTTAACTGTTTCTCTGGATTTAAGCCTAATAATGACAAAATTAGATCTTTATAATCTTAAAAGAAAATATGTCTATGTTCTATACCATATGTTGTTTTTACTGGAACAATATCTTTAATAATGTAAACTGGACTCAAGTAATATATGGACATTACCTCAATTTTTAATTCAATTTAATTATTTTTTTTTATTTTTAAATAAAAAAGCAATTAAAACAGTTCCTTTAACACTTTTGCTATTATATTTTTTAGTAATGTTTGTATGCATTTGCTGTAGTAAAATTGCATTTAATGACTATTGTCAATAACTAAAATTAGAAAAATGTGTGTAAAATATTTATGTAATTCGATAATTATGCTCCCTCTCCTTAGGTGATTTTGTTGTATAAACAACTGTACATGCAGGTTCTTCTAAAAAAAAATTATAATGTTGTTTTCTTATTATTTAGGACAGTGAACAGAAAATATCAAGCTATTTAATTTCAATAAATGAACCCCAAAATGTAAAATGTCCCCCAAGCTTTGTTAAAATTACTAGTATTTTACAGATACTAAGAGACATGCAAACTTGGTATGAACAAATGCCCTGGTAGAATAAGTAACAGCATGAGGAGAGCCAAGTGTAGTAAATAAATTTAAATACTTATATCATACAGGTCATACCAGGCACAATAAGTATATTCCTTATTCTCTGACTGACAGTATTTTTGAAACATCCAGAATAAGAGATTACTCTCTTCGACATGTTGTATTTCTGCATTTCCTTTTTAGCACAGAAAATATACTTAATACATTTATGACTGTACACATATTCTGGCCTGTTTGCCATTAAGCGTGTGTGTGGTTTGCTCTGCTCGTATGCAGAACATTCAGTCCTCCAAAAATGAAAAATAAATAAATCAAGTCCTCCAATGAGAGAACGCTGAAGAACATTTCCGGCGACTGCGTCCTCACCGGCAGCCATTTTGTTTGAGGTGTTGACATTCATCCGTTGAGTTCGGAGAACTAGTTGATATGGGCGTCAGTTTAACTCTGATATCGACAGGAACGTATTTAATTTAAGACAGTCGGTATACACTATTGTTAAACATTTTTGTAGCAGATTATATAGTAAATATTTTCTATTAAGCGTTAGTACGATTTCTTTTCTCATATTTGCGTAGATTTTTTCTACGAGCTAACAGTAACTAACTGGTTAGCTCTGGCAAAATGGCGGCGAATGCGGCTCAACAAGCCCCGACACAAAACTGGTAAGGCGTTTTTATATCTCATTAATGACATCTTCACGTTTCTAACGAATTTTGTCTGTTAAACGTGTCTCACCTAAAGGTTTCACTGCATATTTTGAGGTACAAATAGGTGTAACAATCGATTGAGATTTTGGCGTTCGCTAGCTTATCCGCTTCTCTTTGCAGATTTAACGAATTATTTCGTAGTATCGGCCTGCCATTTTTAATAAGTTGGATATAGGTTGATGTTTTTATTTTTATTTTATTTTTTTCTGTTAAAGGTAGTCCATACTAGAACTGGAATCGAGTGGAATTAACGTCTGTCTTGTTGTAAAGGCCTCATTGGTGACCAGCATATTTATCATTGCTAAGTTACACTGTTTCTTATCGTTATGGCTTTTAATCAAAAAAACTTTTAGCGAAACAAGCCAGACACAGTATGCTTAACAAATCTGAACAAGTTTTAGGAAATGCAATGACTCTTAAAATTCACTTGCCAAAATAACGTTACGAATATTACACCGTCTGCAGTCAGTTTTTGTTTGTATATGAACCTTGTTTTGTGTGGGTCACGGTGTGCTTGTGTAGATGTATGTAAATGTTTTTAAAAGGTCTGATATGCCGTGAACTAAAATCCATATTACGTTTACCTTACCATGTTTTCATCTGCAGGCCGTATGGTAATAATTCAAGTGGTGAAGGCCCAGTCCACGAGAACCCAGAATGGGAAAAGGCCCGACAGGCTCTAGCATCCATCAGTAAAAGTCAAAACTCTACCAAACCTTCAACTAATCAAACCACACAACAGGTTAGTGTTTCATGAGAATAGAGGTGGACATTTTTATCAGTTTTAAACCCATGCTTTATTGCGTGGTAAAATGGTTGATTTTTGATTTTTCTGTTAGGCTGGACAGTATCAGGCAGCAGTTACAGACTCCTCTGCAATGCAGCAGCAGCAGTATTATCAGCAGTGGTATCAACAGAACCAACAGCAGTATGCTGGTTACCCTTATCCTTATAACTACTACTACCCCATGCCTCCGGTAAATAAATGCACTCCTACATTTTTGAACATGTATCTGTAAACAGTCCTTATCCATTTCCCTTTAAATCTTAACCGAAAGGTTAGCTGCAGAGAGTAAGCAGTTTTTTTTTTTTTTTTTTTTTTAAGCGTTTGTGTTTGATTGGAGCTTTTATACCACACACTGAAGCAGCATTGCTGTAATTATTTTGGTCCTTGGTCTATTTTTAACACACTGATTACGTTCAGTTAAAGTGATAATGCATTAGTTATGACCAAAAACAAATAGAAAAAATTGACAGCCGAAAAAGTAGAAGTTTTACCCAAAAAAATGCATGGACAATTTCCACTGGTTTTTATATTGTCAATCAAATGAACTGAAACGATTTAAAAATGCAACAAGTATTTGTTTGGGTCTGAACTACAAAACTACATTTAAAACAAAATTTAGTGTCAGTTTTGCTTAAGTTGCAAACTAGTTTGATTGTGTATAATTATACATTATAACTATATTTGTATAAAAATTACTACAACTGTACATCATGCTGGCAATAAAAACAAAATCACATGAATTCACAGGCAATTGTCTTCTGGGTGCACCCAAAAAGACTTGAATGACACTCTTCATGGAGCTTGAGAAGCATAAAGTTCTTTATGATCTACATGTATAGTAAAAAAGACTTGCAGATTAAAGAAGCAGCATAGGAGGAAGGTATCATGGCTCTTGTTGCAGATTATTTTAGATAGATAGATAGATAGATAGATAGATAGATAGATAGATAGATAGATAGATAGATAGATAGATATAGATTGATCTGTGCAATAGCTGCTGCTTAGGTGCACACTGCTCGTGTAAAAAGCAAATGCCTGCCTGCTGCTTCCTGGTCTCCCTACACACTGTTCACACACTGCTTTTGCTCTGGTTGCGCATGCAGTGTGAAGAAGGCGTTACCTGAAACGAGGCTAAATGTGTCAGAGTGGTTGAGCTGAAGTGCATCATGACAGCCATAAAGCAGAGAAACAGCTTCATTCTGTGATTTCTCTGTGGCATCTCTCTGGGCTGAAGTGAACCGTACCTTTGCATTTGCAGTGGTTTACTTGCTGTTAACACAAAAATCACTACAAAAAAATATTTATTAGTTTTTTTATTTTTTATCATCCCTCCTAGTATGGTGGTCCATATCCTCCAGGACAGTATGGTGTACCCGGGGGCTACCAGACACCCACTACCCCTACTGGACAGGTATAGACTTTTTTTATGGGTTTCTGTTGGCCAAATGTATATCACATAGGTGTGTAAGCGTAAAGTAATGCTCTATTTTTCTCTCTATTTCAGGCCCCCTCCATGCCTACAATGGAGGATCAGTCCTCAAATTATCCCCCCCAACCTCCTCCTCCTGCAACCCCTCAACCCCCCCCTCAAAGTCCTACGTCCAGTGACCAGCCCCCACCCCCTCCTCCACCCCCCATACCTCCCCAACCCAATGCCCAGTACCCCCGTCCACCATCCCAAACCCCCTACAGCCCTAATGGTGTCCTGCCGTACAGCCCTACAGATTCAAACCCTATGATGCGGGGATACAATCCAGGGCAGATCCGGCCAGGGTACCAGGGTTACCAGACTCCAGTATATCAGCCCCATCAGCAGCAGGCTCCAGCACCAGGCCTGTACGGAGGTGCAGGCAGGGTGGATGCTAAAAAACCTAACAATAGCAATATGAATAAAGGTGGCCAGCAGCTGTGGCAGCGCATGAAACGTACGCATATGTGTCCTCGTAATATGTGAATTATGTAGCGTGTAATTTAAGTATCTCCTAATGCTTTCTTTTCTTTTCAACAGAGGCACCAGGAACGGGCGCTGTTAAATTTAATATACCCAAACGCCCTTACGTCATGTCCAACCAAAACTTCCCGCCAGGTGAGCAGGGCCCTGGATTGGCTCCCCCCACTGCAACCAACCCATCATCTGGCTCTACTAGTGCAACATCCAGTGCTTCAACGGGAGGTGCCCAAACACGGTAAATGTAGTGGTAGTGTTTAAAATTAAGAGGCTGGTTGAAATATGCTGGTCTTGGAAGTAAATGATTGCATATACCTAGACTGAACGGGACAAAACTGTGTTTTTTTTAAAATAGGCCACAAGATTGGCCACAGGCCATGAAAGAGTATGTACAACGCTGCTTTACAGCCTGTGAATCTG